GGTGTGACACACTCTTAAACGTGGCTTTATATACTACAACGGTGAATTAGGACAATCACTAACTTCAAATGCCTTATTTTTTTTTTTTTTTTGTGGGATTTTGACAACCATTTCAGTGACACATGTTCAACATGGTTTCTCATGTTGATGAAATTTGTATATCACCAATGTGAATTAAATTGCTATTTAGGGTGTAAAATTCAAATGATTGGTTTGGTGACTATAGATTAGCATTACTTTTCACAGTGGTGCTTGTTGATTATATTATTGAGGGATGCATCCCTTAAGAGATCACATCCATGAACATATTACACCATGTTGCACTATTTTTAGCAACGTATTTCAGCATTTCACCAATATACTTCCACATAGAAGTTCAATTTCTAGTAAATGGATGAAAGTATACATGCATGTGCCTAGTTACATTGTTGATTCTTCTTTGCTGAAGTTTTGCATTATAGTGGTGTATGTAACGGGCATATTGTAGTATTAGACCCTAGGGTGGGGTTCTTGCATGTTCAAAGATGAATCTCTTTCTATCATTCCATAATAACCAAATAGCAGCAAGAAAGGTACATGCCCATGGTAGTTGGTGAACATCATGCATAATATTCCTCTTAGAAGTGTAGATACAAAGCCAAAGGAAAGTATCCAAAATGAAAAAGTTTTGCTCAAATATTCCTAGGAGACTCTAAACATTTCTGGCTTTTAGTAATCTCAATAGAATATGTAATATTGTCTCAATTGCTTGGTGGCAATAAAGGTATGCTATTGAATCATAAGGTGGTGGTTGAACCATAAAGCGTTTGTGAGCACTCTATCCCTAGCAAATAACCGAACAAAAATCTGAATCCTTTTAGTTTGTTGCAGCTATGTCACACTCTACTTTCAGTTAAAATTCCCTAATCCTTTGTGATTTTCTTGCACCTATAGCAAATGAAAGATGAATTTGGTAGTGAAGTTTCCATTCAAGGTACCTATCCAAGTTGTCTAGAAGAGTTTATCATTGAGCTCCACTTGCAAGGAGAATAGTATAGCTTAGATCTCATTAACCACCTCATAATTCTGGGAGCAAGTTTAATAAGATAATGACATTCCATTCCTGGCTTGGTGTTTGTCACGCCCCAGAACCCAAATCCGGGGTCGTGGCAGACGTCGTGCACTCGTGAGCGGGGCCCACAAATGCACAAGGCTCGAGACCTACTGAGTTCTTACTTAGCAATTCAAATTTAAGCCTTTTAATTTACCAAATAGTTACCAGTCGAATGTACAAAATTTATCACTTCATATATACAATCATGACTAACACTAAATTCCGTACACAAAATTTTCTATGTCAAGCATGGGTGACTAACGGCTTAGCTACAAAAAAAAAAAAACCTAAGTCCAAAAGTGCCTAGCCGTCTAGCTCGTCACTCTCCTGGGCTTCCCACGCGTCGGGTCTCACTACCTGAAATGGTGGACAAGGAAACCGTGAGATAGAAATATCTCAGTAAGTAAACGTGGGGGCCCGACATCAAAGTTTAAAGCATGCCAAATAATCGGTTGAAACATGAACAGAGCGTGTCAATAACAAATCATTAATGCAAGTAAAATCACGTAGTGGTCTCCTCTATTAGTCATGGCCAGTGTTATAAACCTCCCATTGGTAGGCACACGAGTACTAGTGTATAATCCCCACTAGTAGGGCCACGAGTGCTAGTGTATAATCCCCACTAGTAGGGCCACGAGCGAACCGGTTCTATCACGAACATGTCGACATGTGCTAGCGTTTGTAACCTCCCCCACTAACGGGGTCACGATTACACGACCATATCGGAGACAAAACCAAGCAAGATTTACAGAAACCATGATTCACGATCGTTCTCACTTTCAAAAATAAACCGAAGAATCTCATGTGGGCATGCTCAATTCTAGAAAACAATGAAATTCCCATTTTCATTCCAATCATGCTCAATTCCAGAAAACAATAAAATTCTCATTTTCATTCCAATCATGCTCAATTCCAGAAAACAATGAAATTCTCATTTTCATTCCAATCATGCTCAATTCTAGAAAATAATAATCTTTCATAAAAATCATCACAAGTTTCATTTCAGTTAAATCACACTCAGATGCTGATAAAATCAATTTAAACCTTGCCACCATCTCAAAAACAATTTAAAACATGTTTTAAAATCGAAGGGCTTTACCATAATTTACTTACCTTAATTACACAGGACAGAAGGCCTAATCCCAGTGCTAAGGCCACAGGACAATCAAGGACCTAATCACAATGTTCCCAATTAATATCTGTGTATACACAATTACACAATTACATATATACAATTTCTCAAACTAATGGACAGGAATTTGGGAGAATCGGCCTTGACAGAAAATGGCCAATTCACGGAATTCTCCCCTTTTCTCTCGGACATCACACAACAATCAAACCCACTAATTTCCCACACAAATCATCAACCAAAGCCCATTTTCAAATGGCCAAAACTCATCCCTATTTCAACAGAATTTTCGGACAACCCAAGCCCATTTCATACAACCACTTAAACTCACAAATCAGCACTTAATCCACCAATTTTCGGAAATTAGAGAAGCTAACTTACCAAAAATCCTCAACTAGCAAGCTGGAGCTGCAGATTGAGGGGAAGAGCCGGCGGGAAAATTGGGGAGAAATTCGGGAACCACAGGAAAAACCGGAGCTTATACCCAGCAACAGCCGGCAGCAGGGAAGGGAGAAGCAGAGCAGATCCGATGGCTTTTCTGCAAGAGAGAGAAGTTCTAAGTTCTAGACTTGTTCTTGGGCAAAAGGAGAACAAAAATCATCAAGTTCTCTTACCAATTTCCGAGAGAAGTAGGTGTCGGTGAAGGCTGGTGGTGTTCGGCTGCAGAGGAAGAAAGAACAAAGCAGACGCGAAAATGGCTGGGAAGGAAGAAAGAAAGAAGAAAAAGAAAAAAAGAGATGAGTCAGCCGACCTTATCCAATAACCTTTTAACCCCTTTAAGGTTTGAAAAATTGATGGTTAGGTCCATTAATAATGTTTCCTCACCATTAAGTCCTTAACTCAACTTATATGCTCTAGGAAATTTTGGGGTATTACAGTGTACTAACTCTAGAAATCTTCATCATCAAAGATTCTTCGAAACAACAATAATTAGTACACTCTCTGATTCAACATGTTTTATAATATACTTATTAAGAAACTATTATTTTCAAATTTGAATTTAAACCAAGAAAATTTTCAATATATGAGGAACTATAAGTGTCAAATGTTGTAAGATCATCTAGATCAACAAAAAGGAAAAAAAAAAAAAGACAAAAGGAAGAAAGAACACCTTTCAATGGTCGTACTATAATGAATAAGTTGATATTGTTTAGAGAATTTTTTTTCTTTTTTTTTTCTTTTCTTTTTTTGTGAAAACAAGCAGTGGGAATTGGTTTAATGATTGATTTTTAAAAATTAAATTTGCAACCCTAAAATGTTGTTTCAATATTGAGCCACCACATCTTAGGTTTTAGCTTTTATCATGACCCTTTTTTAAGTTAATTTGATTAATTTAGACTCCATTTAGTATAATTGTGGTTTTAAGTTTTTGGTTTTCAAAATTTTAAGAACCTTAAAATAAAATTAAATAGTTCTACAAAATAAGAGATTTGTACATATCTGTTGACGACCACACTTAAAATTTAAAAAAAAAAATCACATTAAGTGTGAAATATATAAAAAGGGAGTCATCACTCGCCCAAAGTATAAGGTGGGATAAGTCACCTAAAAACAGGTCTGCTTAGAGATCGAGGTTCGGGGGTTCAAGGGTTCGGTTAAGAGTGAAAAAGGGTATACACGCACCTCGCAATCCTCTGCTTAAACATGGTTGCATATTTTAAAATTAGGGTTTTGATTCAACTTATTCATCATGTTTATGATTGAATCTTAGTTGGCAAAACTTTAAAAAAACAAAAAAAGAGAAAGAAAAGAAAGATAAACCAAATAGAAACATTTCTTTTTTTATTTTTTATTTTTTACTAAAATGGACAAAATTAAGAACATGCATGTATCATAAGCACAAATAAAAATTAAAAGGATTAATTTGATTAAATTCGAAACATGAAGGATTGATTTGATAAAATTTAAAACATGGAGGACTGATTTAGAAAAGAGTTAGACCCTTGGACTAAATTGCTTGGTCATAAAACTTTTCATTTGAATTGAGACAAAATAAAAAAATAACTTTGACTTCAACCAAAATTGAAGAAAATTGAGGATTGAAATTAATTAATCAAAATAATTAATTAAAACTAAAAAGGTTAAAAAGTTAAAAAAAAAAAGATATATATATTATTAATTAATTAGGTTAATTAGTTTAATTGAATAATTAATTTAATGTTAATTAAAATTAATTAATCATATTTATTAATCCTTAATTGAGATAA